TTGCGTAGGAGCTAGGGGGCTGAGCTTGAGGTTGGGTGGGCGGGGTATTTGGTTTTTCAAGGCGTCTAACTTTCTCTCTTAGTTCTTTAGAGACGTTAGATAGAGAGGAGATTTGGTCTCCTAGAATTGTAGAGTTTTTTTTGTTTACTCTGCCGTTCTCTGTAAAGTCTCTAAAGACTTCTACAAGGTCTAGTAAACTAGTTTGCCTAGTAGGGTTGTTCTCAGCTAGGTTAGCTGCTTGGATTACTAGGTTTCTAGCAATCTCTAAGGCCTCCTCAATAGAGGTTGCCTTTGGTGTTTTCCCTACTGTAGGGTATCTTGGCACTGCTCCAATAAATGGAGAAAAATTGCTTCTTGTCCTAGTATGGGTAGGCCTAGGCGGTTCTTCTGGTTGCCTGTTAGGGCACGGCGTAGGGGCCTCCTCAGCCATCTCGATTTCTGGATTATTATCCATTAGTCGTTTGCTTGTGCCTCTAAGGTCCTTTGAGGCTAGTCTTTTTTTGTTATTTTTATTGTTTTGATATGTCTGTGTTTCTTGCTGAATTTGAGCTTCAATAAGCTCCTGCGTTCCTATTGGCCCCTCTAGTCTTGGCATTAGAGCCCAAGCTCTGTAAGAAAATTCTCACAGGCGTGAGATAACGAAGGAAGGCCTCCTTCTTCTCCCTACTGCGCGCTAGCGCCTTAGCTATAGGTGTTGAAAGTGCTGTTAGTCGATTCCTCGTGGTCGGTTCTTCTAGATAGCGTGCTTTCCTAGCGGTTTCCAGAAAACTCGAAGTTGGTGTTTTGTAGTTTTTAGTCTATTATTATTATTATTATTTTGATTTAAAGTCCTTTCTCAGCCCTAGGGCTATATAGGACGTGTAGACTAGAGGTCTACAAGTATCTACGTGTTTCTATTAATTTGATGTAGGTGGGGGAGGGGGTTATCTAAATGAAGGTGAGGCTCGTAGCCTAGTGTATTGGATAGTAGTAGGGGGTCTTGCGGGTGGTAGGTGGGGTAAGGTAGGTGTAGGGCAGGTACTAGTGCTAGTGGCGCCCTAGTTGTTGGTGTCTCCTTTGTACTAGGCTTGTGTCCCAGCTTTTGTCTCTTCAATAAACCTAATAGTCGCCTGTATGCCTATACTAGTTTCTAGTAAGAAGGCTAGTGATAGTGGGTCCTTGCTCGTTTCTTGCATCTTCTTTCTAGCTTCTTTGTATAGCGTACAGCTAAGTAGGATATGCGTAGTGTCTTAGGTAGCTCTATAGTTGCATAGGCATACTTTAGAGTCTACTTTCTCTTAATTAAATAGGAAGCTTCTAAGATAGCAGTGCCCTAGCTTAAGTTAATAGAAGGCGCTAGACACTTCTCTACTAGTAGAGGGAATAGCTATTTGCTTTCTAATCTTCCACTTATACTTTGCAGCGTACGTATTAGAGTTACGCTTAATAGCCTTCTTTTTATATTGTTCAAGTGATATAAGCCACTCTCTTTGGCCTAGCTGTTTTACTCGTGTGCCTATTATAGCTAGGCTTATTCTAGTAGAGCTAGGATCTAGCTTTGTTGCCTCCTTAGCTAGTGTATCTGCTCTCTCGTTCCCAATAATATCTTGGTGGCCTGGTACCTAGTATATTGTAGGTGATAGCCTAATTTCTCGTAGTTTCTCTGCTACTTTTATACATCTAATCTGCCACTCTTGTCTAAGGTTGTTAGAAGCAGTTTTTAGCCTAAGTATAGCAGCTTAGTTGTCTGCGTACACTCTAACTTCTAGACAGTCGTCTACTAGGTCAATAGCTTTCTCTAAGCCTAGTGTAATCCCTTCTAGCTCTCTATTATAGACTAGCTAGTTATAGCCTATATTAACTTTTTGTTAGGCTATACAAGTAGCTCCTTTGTAGAATGCGACTCCTACTCCTATACCTTTGCCTTTTGTTGTAGATGAGGCGTCTAAGTATATAGATAGTAGATGTTTGTCTTCTAGTTGCTCTTTGTGGTCTTTTGCTTCTAATTCTTTTAGTTTTTTTGATATATGCGTCTTATAGGGCATTTCTGAGCTCTATGGCATAGAGGCGTAGTGCTGGATTGTAACGGGCTGAACGCCCTTTGGATAGCTCCTCGATGGAATCTCGGTCAAGCAGCAGACGCCAGGTCTTACTCTGCAACCCGGCATCTGTGCGAGGCCTGAGCGGCGCCCAGACGACGCGCTCAGACACTCGGTGCAACCTTTCTCCGACAAGTAAATAAACACCACGCAAGTAGACTCTATAGCTCTCTATCGAATACAACCTCTTGTATACCTCGCGATTGCTCCCCGGAGCGCAGCCCCTTACATGGATCTTCTCACTATCTATAGATAGAGTTGTTGAGATAGATTTAGTAATACGCTCTAGCTGTTTCCCTTGGTTGCCTCTAGATATAGCAATATTGAGTGGGTGGGATAGAGCTAGTTTTAAAGCTCTAAAGGCGTATTGTCGTAGAGAATTGTTTAGTCTTATTCTAGGGGGGTATAGCGCTGCTTCTACCTCGCTA